AGATGTGGAATTCATGTTGAACTGCTTTATTGTGCACATGAAGAACAAACTCTGCCCTGATGAGAGGGCTTGAAAAGACTTTGGGCATGGTGTTAATCCTTCCTGGGCTGTGTGGACAGGCCTGAAACCCTATGAGACCCCTTCTGCATGTGCATTACTAGGGATGGGATAGTATAAACGTGTAAACAGTTAACCAATGAGCCTGTATCAGAGGCAGTGGGGAAGCAGGAGGAGGAGGGAGCAGGCGGGAGCTGCCTCCTCCCACCCACATGTAAATGTGTAACCACTGAATTGTTCAGTGGGTACATGTTTACCTGAGTACACACATTTTAACATCCCTCATCTTTATATAATCAAGAACCACCAACCTTTAATTCTGGCATTCACTAGCTATTGAGCTTGCTTTTTATGTGTTTTTCCCATGCAATAAAGCATAACCCAGATGTTTACTCTCAGTCATTTCTCCTCTCAAATCATAAATACAGGGGGGATGATCTTGTGGGAAAGGCTCTGAATGGGGCCTCAGAAGAACAGGATTCCATTCCTAGCGATATGTGAGATCTTCGGAAAGTCACTTAGGATCAGGTCCTCAAAGAAACGTAGGCTCCTAATTTTCACTGACTTCAATGAAACTTAGAATCCTAAACAGGGCCTTAATTTCTGTGTCTCATCAGCAAACGAGGGACAGTTCCCTACCTCCCTGGGGTGTTGCAAGGATAAACTCATGTCATGAGTGTCGGTAAGGGGCTTGGGCTGCACAGTGATGAATGGCAGCTAAGCTCTTAGTCAGACGTTAGATGCACTGTGATGATGCTCTTTGAATCACTTCCATTCATTCATCGAATGGGAAGGTTAACAGCATGTCTGAATGACTTATTCTCATCCCTCATGATTCACAATGGAGGGAAGCAGGCAGGGAAAAAAGGAGGAGCAGTAGGAGAACAGGTGGATAGGAACCCTAGGAGCATAGAAAAAGGGCTAGCGAGGGACAGAGAAAAGGAAGGGAGATGGGGATGGATCCATATCTTACACAAAAAGTGGTCTAGACACAAGCACTATAAAAAAGCTGAAATGTACAAGCACTGTAACCCCCTCAAATGGCTGAGCCACACAGCATAGCAATCAGCTGCTAGCCAATAGGGTTACTCAAGTGGGAAAGGTCCTGGGTTCAAATCCCCGTGAGAAGGGTGATATTACCAACACCAAGGCCGTGTCCAGACTCAGGGGTTCTTTCGAAAAAAGTAGCCTTTTTTCGAAAGAACTTCCCCTGCGCCCAGACTCAAGCCGCGTTCTTTCGAAATTATTTCGAAAGAACGCGGCTTTTCTTTTGATGGCGGTAAACCTCAATTTACGAGGAAGAACGCCTTCTTTCGAAAGTTCCTCTTTCGAAAGAAGGCGTTCTTCAATGTAAAGAGGCCGTCTTCGAAAGAGAGCATCCAGACTCACTGGATGCTTTCTTTCGAAAAAGCAAGCTGCTTTTTCGAAATTTCTCCGTGCAGTCTAGACGCTCTCTTTCTAAAGAGGCTCTTTCGAAAGATGCTTTCGAAAGAACCTCTTCCGAAAGAGGCTTGCAGTCTAGACATAGCCCAAGAGTGGTAAGGAACCAAGTGCCTCTAGAATGACCAGAATCTGTCTGTAAATAGACTGATAACTGCTCTGAAAAAGAAAGGAAGTAAATGAAAGATTAGGCTGAGATTTGCCAGTTGTCTAACGGAGCTAGCTAGCCATAGCAGGCACGTCAGCACCTGCATGAATCACAGCTCAGATTAGTTTAGGGGAAGTCAATAGGCCTAGACTGGGAGGGAGTAGATGACGTTTGAAGAAAAGGTGGATGCTCCCGTGGAACGAGGTGTACAGATAGTTCGGAATGGCTTGCTAGTTCGAACTATCTAGCCCGTGCCGCGTGTAGCCGCGCGGCACGGGGTTCGAACAAGCCGGCATTTAAAAATGGCGCCGGCCGGCTTATGCAAATGAAGCCCGGGAAATTCAAATCCCGGGCTTCATTTGCACGTTCGGTATGCATATATTACCCCGCTAGTTCGAACTAGCGGAGTAGTGTAGACATACCCTCAGATAGAGGCAGCAAAGAGGGAGAATGGGGGTACTTCAAAGCAGCAGCGCCACACAGCTGAGCCCAGAATCCCTGGCTCTGCTGTGTGGCACTGCCCCTTTGAAATGCCAAGGCAGTGTTTCAAAGCGGCAGATGCCGTGTGGAGCCCAGGGCCAGCAGTCCCCAGTTGACCCCAGGCTCCGCGTGGCATTTCAAATTGGCAGTGCAACTTAGAGTCTCCCGCTGACTCCAGGCTCCATGAGGGCGCTTCCACTTTGAAATGCACAAGAGCCCCTGCTGGGGACTCTTGTACATTTCAAAGCTGGCACACCCACACAGCCCGGAGTCAGCGAGATTTCTCTCTAGCCCAGGGCTGCACGCAGAGTTCTGCACATTTCAAAGGAGGAATGCGGAAGTGCCTATCGACTACTCAACTAGTAAATTAACCAATATTTAGCATCCTTAGTCTGCACCAGGAAATTAGGTAGGTATCCCTACATCAGAAAGAGTATAAAACATCCACTATCCCGAGCAATGCAGTTAAACCAACCTAACCCTCATGGAGAAAGCACTAGATCAATGGGAGAATCAGGGGCAATACGTGGGGGGCACAAGCAGGCACATGCCTCCAAATGCCATGGGCAAGAGGACAAGGGGCTGGCAGGGGCAATCACGGGGCCAGTTCCCCTGCACTCACTGGCAGGGGGTGCTGGACCCCCACTTCCAGTACCCCTCTGATACTTGACACTTTCAGTAGTTCCCCAGGCCGCATCACTCAAGGCAGGAGTTTGGGGGAAAAGGTGGGGCAGGGAAGGAGCAAGGGCAGGGAAGAGGTGGGGATAGGTTGGAGCAGGGGCAGGGCCCGGGGCTGAGGGGCTTGTCTTACCCCTTTCCTGAGCTGGGGGAGTGGTCTCATGGCTGGTGGCCCCCTGTTTCTGTCTCTCACCTTTTGCCCCTGGGAACCATTCTCTGTCAACTTAGCTACTGCCTCTCGGGAAGGTGGAATATCCGTGCCAAGAGAAACACCCACACCCACTACAAGATCAGTGACAAGCACGGTATACAAGCAGCTCTCCCAGATCTATTGACTTTTTAGCACATTAAGAGTAATAAATACCCCAGAGACAAACTGCAGGAGGATACACACACACCCCAGCATCTGTCTTCTAAGGCGGATGGGATGCCCGTTTTTTCAGCCACAGAGTGTTCCCAGGAACTGAGGAGGCCTTCCATATGAATGTGGAAGGAGAGCCAAGGGTGGATGGATGGCAGGAGAGACACACTGGTTATAAATATCTGCCCCGCCCACTGGGAGTGTTTGTAGGAGGATCAACCTGCAACAAGACTTTGCAATGACAAGGCCGTGCAGAGGACCTCGATGTGTTTTCCGTGCATCCTGAGAGTCTACCCACCACTAATTAATTAAGCTTCAGTTCTACTGTGAGGAAGATAATAGATTATCTCTGTTTTACAGATGGAGAAAACAAGTATCCAGAGGGACAGAGCCCTGACTAGTGTCACACAGAAGCCCAGTGGTAAAGTCAAGAATAGAGCCCAGGAGTCCTGTTCTAACCATTTGGCAACATTCTCTCCTGGGGCCAGGAACAGAAGCCCTTGCTCCTAGACCTGGTGGTAAGGGCAATGCAAAGAAGTGGTGGAGACTGGTCAGATCAGAGCCTGGGTAGGTGAATCTGACTCTCAGCAGTGCCATTCAGAGCCATTCGAGAAGGGCTGAAGGGATTCCTAGCTCCTCGGGTCCAGTCCCTTCCTTCTCAGGCCACCCCGCTCTATCATCCCATTCATAAACTGGGCAGGCTCCATCGTCACACTAGCTAGGGGATCTGCTCCTACTGGGTAGCATTCCAGGACATCCTCTCTGATTCCTAGACACCGCCTTCTAATGTCCATCCTATACTTAGTCATGGCCAGTTTATCCCTGGGCGTTCCTTTGCCAGCATTGTCCTTTCCATTCAATAGCTCTTCTCTGTCCCTGGACTGTTTCCCTCCCCTGAGAGCAGCAATAGGTAAAGTTCTTCATGCATCTCATTCCAAAGAGGAATGGGCACTGGGCTTCCTTTTCCCCAAGATGCTGCCACTGCAGGGAGAGGCAGAGCACGGCTTTGTAGTAGTTATGTTAGAAAGAAAAACAACGCCCACAGATGCTGCAGAGAGTCTCAGCTTTGGGAGCAGTAGGCTGGAGCCCCCTGCACTGTGACTAACAGGTTTGTTGCATGGGACAGGAACACCCAAGGAGGGTTGGCTGCTGCTCCTCTCTGGGTGTAGGTGTCTGTCGGGACTGGGATGTTACACAGACAGTTGAGACATATTCTACAGATCTAGGACAATATTGCACAAAAGAAGAGACTCACCCAGTCGGCAGCATCCCCCGAGAATAGGTAAGATCCTCTCAGCTGTGCTAACTGGTCTCCATCCGGCAGCTTCCTCCTCAGCAACCTGTATGGAGTGAGTCGGGGGCAATAAGCCAATTTCCAGGAGTGTGCCTATCATAAAACAAGGCACTGTGAGTTGTGCATCTGGCCCTGGATTGTTGATAGAGGGAGTTCTCCCTCCCATCCAACA